TACTTTTTTACAGATAGGCGAATTATTTTTAAATTATTATTTAACAAATATTTGAATACGCTTTTAACCCTTTTGTCAATTATTACATAATTTTTTACTTTTTTATTACTTATTGTGTTTTACAAGATTTTCGCAAAAAATGAAAAAAAGGAAAAAGATGTACAAAATAGTTGTTTGAAGGGTGAAGCTTTTGAGATGTCATAACGAAAGCCACATAAAAATATAAAAATTTTGACTATTTAAAATTCGATATAGGTATTAATGCATTGACAGAAGGATTAAAAATGTTTAGCAATGTATGATAAAATTGTTCGATTTATTGCTTTTCACAGCGTTCCTAAGATCGATCTAAGAGTCAGTGCCGCGTTCGTAATTTCGCGATATCGTTAATGAAAAAGCATGGAAGAAAAAGAATTTTTGATTGCGTGGCTGGTCGGAGGGCGAGTAAAAAATTTCAACACGCAAAGGAACAAAAGCGCGGCCGGGCCCGTTCTCTACGAGCGAAAAACAAGTTTCCTCCCGGAAACAAATGCGGAAAGATCGATCCGCGTTCCGCGAAACGACGGCGCGCCGATTTAGCGGCAAACGCGGCCTGAAAATCGGTGGTTTCCGCGAAACAATTCGCCTTTTCAACGGCTCTCGCTGTGCCAATCGACGATTAAACAGCGCCTCGACGAAACAAACGTGTGCGTAGACGCACTACGTGACGTACACGTGACGGTGGGGTAGGTACTCTTTAATCCACGACAGCAGCCGCGAGCGGGTCGATAACCGATAACGAGGTCGGAGCATTGCGATGCAAAACAGCTCGTTAAACGTTTTTCCTAAGGTCGCACGATGCCGCGTTTTCGCCTTTACCTTCGCCCTCGAATGGCCACGAGCAAAAGACGTTTAGTTCGAGGAACGGGACGCCTCTCGAAGACGACGAGATTCTGCGTCAAGAGAAGAAAGAAGAGACTCGTCTTCACTGTCGTTGAGAATTCCTCTCGAAAGAGGCTTATTATTTCCGCGATTTCCCGCCGTACAACCTTCTTCGGACTTTTGCAAAATACCACGTAATCCTCGGCATGTTTCATCATAAGAACAATTAGAGTATCGCTAGAGAAGATCAGTGAGGATTCTTTGAATAGTTCTACGGAAGATCTTTTGTTTTTATTTTACTATGTTGCTTATTATATTGCGGTACTTCCAGTATCTTTCGAAAAATTCTCTCATTGTCAATGCTGTTCGATCTGAAAATTCGATTATAAACCAATAAATTGAAATTATCTACTCTACATTAACCCTTACCGTACCATCTACAATTTGGTGCCTCATCCATATACCATCAAGGGTCACTTCAAATCTCTTCGTTTTTTCACCTCTTCAAAATAATTTAAAAAATCTCCAAAAATTCACTAACATACTTTCAACTTTCTAGAATAAATATTGACTCTTTATTTTGGAAAATAATAAAATGTAGTATAATTTATAATTACCGAAAGACTCAAAGAAACTTGCACGAACAGGAATCGCTCGCTCACTAGTTACCCATATTAGTACGGTAAGAGTTAAAATTACATGGAAAGAATGACTGCTGAAGTATCTAAAAGTTTAGCTAGGTGCAGATCTGAAAATAATTTTGTTGAATCATCAAAATAATTGTGTAGGACGCTCGAGCGTAATGAGCAATATTGCAAAAGGTTTTCCAGCTAGAGCGTCTTACATAATCATTTTGATGATCTGACAAAATTATTTTCAAATCCGTATATAGCTAAATTTTCAGATACTTTAACCGTTCTTTCCATATAAATAGATTTACTCTTTTTAAATATTGCCGTCTTTGCAATTTCTGAACATATCGTGTTCTCCAATATTTTCACACTCTCGTATCAAAGTGCTTGTCTGCCTTATTACAGAAATCCAATTTAGTACCAGCCAATTTGATACTAGAAATGACTAGAGTATTAAAAGTACTAAACAACTGCTTTTAATATTCCAAATAAGTGATTAATTACTACGTTCCAGTATTAAATTTGTCCAAGGGTGGTTTTTCATGGCTGCAAACAGCAACCATGTATTATCAGCGTAAACGGGGATCGGGCTCGGTTCGCCGATTTGCCTCGACCGATCGCGTTGACACTGCCTCCGCAACCGTGAAGAGACCTTTACGAGCGCGTAATCCAGTGCGTACAACGCGATCTACGTAAACGAAGCGTCCCAGCTCCACGTCCAGTAGCCTCTTTCGCATGCGTAGCGGCTGCGGTCGGTGCGTTGTTGGGCAGGTGAACCGGGGCGAGAGCGACACACAGGAGCGAGTGGGCGGGGTACTTACTAATTGTCCGAGCCCTTCACCCCTCGACCTGACCCCCTCATCAACGCTGATTGCCTAACTCTAGGACCCTCAAACCAGAGTCCTCACGATTCTAGACTGGCGAAGAGGATCGACGTCCTCCGGCATGTCGACGAAGCGAATCAACCGCTCCTTCCGCGTCGCATTATACTTCAATTGCTTGTTCTCGTTGATCCCATATCGATCTGTTTCACTAATTAGAATCGTTGTAATTAATTCTGTTTACTTCCTACTTTATTACATACCGTTTATTTGCCACAATAACAACATAATTCAGAAAACAAAGTTTTCCAGAATTCGAGTGTTTTGAATCATAAAGATTTGAAGAGTATTAGTTTTAAAATGCAACTTTAGTGTAATAACCGAGTTATAGAGGAATAAAATTATAATAAATGATTTATTAAAATCATATATGTAAATGAAATTAGTTTTTTTTAAGTATATTTTTTTTCTTTATGTTTCTGTACCTTTTTTTATAAGGAACTAAAAAAATGACAGTTTTTATGTATATGATTATTGGAACAAATAAGCCGCTTAACGATTGAAATGAACATTTTACTTGACACCGTGAATCTTTTATACTTGACAAAGTACACGAGATATGAACTATTATAACTTTCGCGAATATATGTATGTAAATTTTGTTGCTGCAATTAACGTAGTTATCTCGAAAAATATTAATTTTCCCTCCGTTTATACTAATTGTGAGATCGCGAGGTCAAACGCGATAGCACGACGTTGCAGCACATAAAATACCAAACGGTTCGCCTAATAAGAGCGGTTTGTTTCAAAATCGCGAATGGAAGTCTGTGTATATACACCGAAAGTCGATTATTCAGCTCGGGGATCCGCACGTCCGCCCGTTGATTTTTTCCATCCCATGCCGCGGCTGACTCAATTATACATGACGATTCTTTGAGCAAACATTAGTTAGCGCCGGCTGGCTCGCGCGACGGATTGGCTTGGATCGGCTCGCCTCGGTTGATGTGGTGACCCTTCATGGTTGCTTGGTTCCGTTGTCTACTCGTCAACGAACAGCCCCACGGTTACGGGGTGTCAACGCGGTTCTCATTTTCTCGCCGGGGATTAATCCCATTAAGCTTGGTGCAAAGCTAGCGACGAGATCGCCGAAAGCTGCGCGATCGATCGGTCACTTTTGAAATTTCAGCGCGGATTCGATCCGCGATTTTTAATCAAGGCGGCCTGATCAAGATTTTACACACATAGCTGCCAGTATGTTACATAGAGCTGCGTATCGAATTTTCGCTGCAGCGTTTTCGATCCGAAGGTATATATCGGAGACGCGCGTAACACGTCGCACCTGCAACCGGAATGCGAGAATTGAGTTATTCGACGTCACCGAGATTAACTGCGCTCGTACTCTGTGCACCAGTTGACAAACACGGCCGGAACAATTCAGAAAAAAAACTATCCCTTACCCCAGGTCGTGTTTCAGCGTGATGCAGCACAGTCCCGACGGACATTTCGCGTCATGCGACATCTCGTCGAATGAGCCGTACGTTATCGAACCGCGGTTGCGTCATGTTTTTATGCGCCAAGTGAAATTAAATGCAATTATTGGCGAAAAATCGTATCCGTCACGGATCGTGCTCTACGCAAAGAATCACTGATCTGAGCCTCTAACCGAGATTTATTCCGACGGATCTGAGAACCGCTGATGTCCCAAACCTATAGGTACTAATACAGATCTCACGCACTCCCCTCGATATAAACCATTCTCCACCCTTGTGTTCGCCGTATGGGATCCCTTACGCACACACGAAAGAGACAGAGCGATTGCGCGACGGCACGACCATTCAGATTTAAATCGCGACAAAAAAATATGGATTCCCCTTGCAGCAGCACGAAGTGCGACGTTCCGCTCTCTTTCATATTCTTTCCTTTCTATTCGCGATGCCTGGACTGTTCGACGCGACGACACTTCTTCTTTGACACTTTTGAGAATAGATCCCGCGACGATATCGATCGTTCTTAGGATATAATAGTGATCGATCGTTAAATTTAACTTTAAAGGTGTGCTGAAAAGGTGTGATTAAATATAACAGGCTGTTTAAAATTTTCTTACGTGGATCTTTTCGATTTTATTCGTCTCTCGTTGCATTTCTACTACTTATTTACATTAAAACTCTGGCTTATAAATAGTATCAATATCTCTGTCTTTTTTGGTCTCTTTCTCTCTCCCCTCTTTCACTCATATATTCACTTACACATTTATACGTACTTTCCATGAACACACAGAATGTAGATAAATCTGTATCTCTCTGTAACTACTTTATTGTCCACGAACTATGTACACGGTGTATGTACAGGTTCGTATTACATTTGTCCAAATTTATAAAATTCAGAGAATTTTATAATTTTTTTCAAGAAAATTTATAAAATTCATCGTGAATTTGTAAAACTTGAAACACGCATCCGCAATGGTAGACAAAGAGTATAGTCTTTGACTCATCTCGAAAATATCCGAAAGCTAATTATTTAGAAAATTGATGATTTTAATTTTAATAAATGCATCACTTTTTTAAACTTTTTCCGCGTCTTGTAATTTTGATTCATATTCGTAAATTACAAAATTTTGATTCATAAAACTTATAAAATGAAATTTAACAAATTTTTATAAAGAAATAATCATTATCTTTCCCGTCTACCACCACGGGTATACATTTTCACTAGCCTTCTTCCAAGATATTCGGGACGTCGTTCTTGCGCTACTTGGATCTACGATTTCGAGTACGGCCTCCAGACTTTCGCAGGTGACTGTGAGATTTTCGTCGGCGGCGGACTCCTGTGCGAGTACGCTTCGGAGATGAGCGTGGTGGGTGCCTTCAATTCGTTTCTCGTGCCTTCGGTTGGTTTTTTAGGATTTCTGTCTGGCGACGATGATGACGAGGAGGTGGTGGGTGGTAAGGTGTTGTGTCGAAGAGGTACGAAGGCACTTCGAACCTCTTCGGTTACGGACTCGCCACTACCAGATTCGCTAGGACTGGGCGACGTTCTGGGTGACGTTTTGGGCGACGTTCTGGGCGACGTTTTGGGTGACGTTTTAGGCGACATTCCTCTGTGTTCCGGACTCACCGGAAGCAGGATCGGTGACATCGGGTGTGCATTGGTTGTCGGTATCATGTAATCGTGATAACTAGTAGTGATGTAGTCTACTACTGGATACGATTGCAACATTGGCGCGATGGACGTATTGAATAGTTCGGGGGGTGATGGTCCTAAGGAAAAAAAAAAAAATCGGTTAATCTCGGCCGTTCGTTCGGCGGGGGCGAATGTAGTAGTAAGTCGCATTGTTGTTTCAACGACGAAAGGGATGTACGCGGCTACAGGAAAGCGGGACGAGGGGACCGTAGAGGGGTCCGTTGTGGGAAAAGAGAGCTCAGACTCACCCCTCGGTCCAGCTCACGGAGTATGAATCATCGGCAGGCGTCGCGAACTCGACGAAATCGATAACACGGATTCTCTCGTGAACGCGAACTCTCTGTTAAGACTTTTTTTTACACGTTCGCGATACATAGAGGTGTGAAATATTTTTTCCCCCGCTTCAATCTACTTTTTTTCCCTTTCTTTCTTTCCTGAACGCAGTGACGTCGCGATATTTTACCTTTAAACATATGATGCGGTAAAGTCCAGGCTGTTCCGAAGTACGTAGCATCCAACCAGGGACTGAGTAAACCAAGTCCATGAAAACCGGCGGTATACTGATAATCTGTAAAATAAATCGGAGATGCTCGATTATATAAACATGCGCTAACGACCAGATTCGAGCGTTGAAAATAGATTTCATCGTTTCTTTCGATCTACGCGCTCTCGGCTAACATTTGGAGTTTTACGATCCACCAAATTCTCTCGCAGTCTATATTGTGGGCTGTGCGTTATAAAATTTGCGAGAAATAAGGAGACATGTAAAGCCGTTACAAGAGGATCTTACTATTCGAAGAATGAAATCTCTGTGATCGCTAACGAACTGACAAACGCTAGGAAGAAGGAACTCGGCCACCCAAGATCTATAAAAGCGACGATTAACGGCGCTTCTCCCCGGGTGATCCGGAGGAGCAGCTAGTGTATCTCTGTTTATACGAGCGTGGCATAAAATCCGTTATTACGACGTGGCGCGGGTTTTCGTGGCGCGGCACATGCTACCGCCATATGCGGTGCGATAAACAAACGCGTAAACGCGGCTTCTTTTGCAGGCGTTCTATCTTTCCCCGTCGCCTTCGCCGCCGCCAGTTAGTATCCTCCGCGTCTCTCCTTCTGGTTTCTTTCCCCGGGTGCCGACCAATAAACAGTCTCACTTCAGCCCCTATCAGACTACTGAAGTCCATGACACGTAAAAAAATGTAAAGCAATAGGGGGTAAGTAATAAACAAATTAGCCAATCACAATAGAATGTAAGGCCATTGCCAATGTAATTATTACTTTACATTTTCTATTGTGATTGCCCAATTCACTTACTGCTTTATGTGTTTCTTTACCTAGTACTCACAGTTGATTCTTACAGTTAACGAACCTTCTATATTACCTAAGCTTCAAGTCTTAACCCGTGAGAAATTGATTAATCACAGTCGATTGTGAAAAGAATAATCGACTACGGTCCATTTCTAGTGTTTGACTTATGATTTATTACTAATAGTTTATTGTAGGAAATCTCTTAAGCTTAGTTAATAAATAGGCTTATTGCAGAAAACTTGTTATATTTCAGACCGTCTTAAGATGCCATAAGCCAATCACAATGCCGCATTAGCATCTCAAAACATTACTTCATTTGATTTAAAAATAAGAATCGATTATGAATACCGGCCCATGTGTTTCTGGTTTAACTCTGTCAACTCTGACTGCCGACCTATAATGAACTAATTATAATGAGTCAACCTCATTGTTATCGGTCTATTATGGGTTGGCAATCAGAATCAGCGGTCGGCTCGACCTACAGCGGAGTTGGTAGTCTGGTACGGGCTTTATAGTAGGCTGCACGACGACGACGACGACGACGACCGGCGGGGCGCGGCGGCGTTTTTCGGGAAAATAAACGCAGCAGCTAAAGAGCATACCGCCGACGAAGACCTCGTTCTCGCGGCTTGACACGATGCCAGGTCCCGGTGTGTCCGTGTGTACGTCGATCTGCGTGTGCGTGTGTATGCTGCATGTGCTCTTGCGCGGCGTGCATGTGCGCGCGCTCGCCCGTGCACGTGCGAGCCGACGCTCGGTGTCGAGGGCTCGGCACCGTTCAGCGGCACCGCCACCACCTCGCGGTTTGAGGTCCACCAGATATACGCCGGATTATTAAACGCCCGCGAGGCTCCGACGCCCGTTTGCGGATTCCGCGGTGGTCACGGAGCTTCCGACGACTTTCGGACCCGTCGGTTGAATACCACCCCCCTCTTCTAACAATATCATATCCGAATCCCACCCCCTCGTCGGACTGTCGAATTCCATTTCGTCATTACTGTATATTTTCTTGCGAATTGATGCGAAGAAATTTTCAATGCGATTTATTTCGAATACGATTCACGCTCTATCATTTTTACAATTCTCAAAACTCTAAATTAATCTCTGTATCGCATGTGTTTTATTCTAAACTTAAATTCTACAATAGGTATTGTATTCGGTATTGTACGTTATTATTAATTCGCGCGTTTATACTTTCATGTTTTGACTCTGTTTTTCAACAACAACTATCGCAAGTTACTAATAATACGATAAAGTTAAATATGTCATTGCTTGTATATCGACTTACTCGACTTGGACCTTGGTTCGCGTGGTCCGTCTACTGTAACCTTGATAGCTTTGGCGTACGTGGCTACTTGGTACGGTATTGTGTTGACCTGGATCGTTAGAGTAAATGATTTTCCTGTAAACACGAAAGCGAAGTGTGCTCGCTTAAAATTTTGTGGATACTTGAGGAAGTCGTATATGTGCGAATATATCAATTCTTCCTAGCTTACCTCTTCCACTGCGACCGACGAATCTAAGATCGTTGAACTTGGCGACCTGACTCTTCATGACTGCTGTGCAATTCCTTAATTCGCCACAACAGTTTTCGTCGTTGCCAGCCTTAATGGTAACTTGGGTGCCATCCGCAACTTCGTCGAGAGCTATGACCTTGAATGCTACCGGAAGAGACTTGTTTGATCTCCAGTGAGAGGGTAACGAGCTGCACATGATAGTGGGGCTTCCTGTCGTTACCAAATCCCCATGAAATCTTCGAGCAGTTTCGTGGATTGATCGAAAGGGCTCTCCCGCACCCGACGGACCATCCCGCAGATGCATTTTTTTGAATTCGGCGCCAAGATTAAAAGGCGTAATTTTTAATGTTATTTATTCAAACTATCAATTCAAATTATCAAATCAAACTCCTATGTGCAAACACTGTTTTGATGAACACGATCGGTCACTGTTGTTCTTTGTTATTCACTATCACATTCGAACGAATAACAGTAAACACACATATCTCTTTCCGCTTCTCTCTTTCTCTCTCTTTCAGTGAAGAAGCATTGTGTGCTCCTGATTTGAAGTTCTGTTTCGATTGCACCTTCGTACCCCTCGAACTGGTAAAATGTTAAAGCAATCCGACGCGCACTCGATGCCGGCTGAGCGGATTCTAGTTTTTCGCAGCCGTAGCCGCAGCTATTTAGGGGGGATTTTTCTCCCCTCCAATTTTTCCGGAGCCCCACCCAGAGCAAGCGCGTCGACCAATGAGGACGGCGGTCGTGTTGTGGCCTCCGCGGCTCGCCGCCTTCGCCCCTAACCAGGCTTAGGGGGTGCTTTGCGAAAGGGGCTG